TTTGAATAGTTAAGTTACTAGTAATCTCCCAAAAATAATTATTGCGCCTCTATATGGCGTGGCATATCGAAGAGTACCCTGTAATTAAATTTTTGGAGCGTAAGCACTCAAATTTTATAGTTTGGTTACCGTTAGCTCGTTCTAAAAGCTAACCAAAAATGAGGTGTCTATGCCCAGTAGGGATGTGACAAATCGGGAGAAACTGCATTTTCTACAGTATTGAAGCTAAACTTAGCTACTCAAGATGAGATGGGAATGATGATTCTGCAATTGGTTACGCCCGACTTGTTTTTTTTTAGAAATCATTTCAAAATTTTCACCAATTACAGCAATAAATTAACAATAACAATCGCTGATTAAAGTTTAATATCTCTCTTGGTAAAACTGTCAATTCAATTTTTATTTTTGCTTCAGGATATTTTAAAAGATATGTCATATATTTTTTTTATACAAATTAAAAAAAAAAATCTCTTTCAGATAAAACTAACAATCGAGTTAAACGCAGTTTTTATTTTTAACATGACGGGGTATTCCGCAATTCATCATAACCGATTCGATCGATCAGTATTTTTTTGGTCTTTCAAAATATTCACCTACGCCTCACCACTATGGGTCGAAAGTATTTGAGGGTCCTGTTACTTGGTTTGACCATTGCGCGCCGATTCGATTTTTAGCTTTTTGACAACGCGTGAATTGAAGACCGCGCGACTGAGATTTCAATTAGGTACATTTTAGTTTATAAATATCAATACGGACACTACTTATATATTAGTGTTATTATATATATATGTATATATAATCGCTGTCTGTGTGAGCATAATTTATATAAAACACATACGTGTGCATTGAATATAGTTCGCGGAATACACCTGCGGACTCGTGAATGTGGTAACGCTGTGCTGATTAGATAAACATAGAATTGAGCGCTTGCTTTTGGTTTTGCTTTTGCTTTTGCACCTTTTCGACAATGCCACAATTTTCCGTTTATCGCATTACGTTTGGAAATTCTTGTCGTATGAAGCAATCTTTTATTTAATGCCCGTTACATAAGTCCAGCTATTATAAGCAAATCAATATAATTTTAGTCTCTGATTACGAATCAGTTGATGTTTGGGGCTTCTCAAACTCTGATTATTCTCATGACATCATGGGCACAATCGCTGGTCCGCACACTTTCTTTATCATACAGATCTTGATTTATGTATTATATCTGACATGTTTTCTTGTTATCAATCGGCTAACGAATTCATCATGCAACAACTAAATGCACGCGAGATGAGCAATGGTTACCTTAGGCCAGATATTCAGATACTGCACTACTTTTGTAGAAACTTCCACTCTCGATACGCCGCGAATCAAATTTGAACTAACTGCCAATGGCAATGGGCCAATGTGCCAATGGAGCGATATCAGTTGGCTCTCCACACACACCGACTATTAATTGATTGCTCGGAATTGTTTCAGTTGGTCTTATCTCACTGTATGAAAGAACTTTTTATCTACCTGTTTGTTTTTGTGTTCATTGCATGTATCATTGTTTCTGTTTGTGCTGCTACGTACTCTCAGTGCTATATGCCGAATGCCCAAATGCTATCGACAGAAGTATATACACATACATATTTTATATAATAAGAACGCTTCAATTCATTGAACAGCTAAAAAACCAGCAGCAAAGCTCTATTTGTTCACTTTATCAGCTCATTACATTCCCACTACTTGCATGTACCTCATTTTATAGTGTTGTAGCACGGTTTAAATAAGTAAGGAAATTAGTCAAAAATAAAATTGAATATTCATTCACATAAATAAATCATTTTAAAGTATCACAATCTTATATCCAAGGGGATGTCAGAATGCCGCAAGTT